AGTGGTGGTGTTAAGCGTCAATTTTACTTTGTTTTTTCTCCATTGTGGGTTTTCTATTGGAAGGATTCCACTTTAGCCTTGCAGAGTTGGTCTGGTTTTCACAAATTCCCTTAATTTCTGTTTGTTTGAGAATATCTTGATTTCACCCCCATATTTGAGGGACAATTTGCCTGGATATATAATTCTTGGTTAGAAGTCCTTTTCCTTCAAGATCTCCTTGATCTCTTTTGTATTTCTAATGACTCCCTCTCCATCTCTGACAGCTGGGTGGGTTTGTTTATTTTTCCCAGTTATTTAATCTGATTTTTTCTCTGCCTTCACTGTATCTAATACTTTATCTTTTCCTTAGTTGTTCATAACTTGAATATCATTATTTGTATCTGCTTTACCTACTTATTCAGTCTAAGTTGGAAGAGAGATCAGTACGACACCATCTTCCTTCCAACTTGTATTGATTTATTCCAGAGTATATGGGTTTTTCATTCAACAATTTATATACATTTTGTCTTGTGGCATTGATTGCAATCCTCACAATGTAATAGCATTCTTCCCACTTACCCCTATTTCCCATTTCCATTCCTTCTTTCCTATCCCTTTCTGCTGTCTAGATTTATTCTTGGGAAAATGCTACCCTTTTGATCTCAATGGCTGGTTCTTCTAAGGAGTGCTATTTTTCACCTTACAGACCTGTCAGTTTTTTAGCTGAAGGTTGACCCAAGGGGGTGAGTTCAGTTCCAGGCTTGATGACTAAGGGCCAAAGTCTCAAGGGTTCTACCATTCTCTATCAGACAAGTAAGCTTCGTCTTTTTTTGTATTTTTAATCTAGTTCCACATTTTTTCTTCCACTCTATCTGAGACCTTCTATTTTGATCCCTTGCAGAGCAATTGGTAGTGGTAGCCAGGCACCATCTAATTCTTCTGGTCTCAGAGTTGAGGATGCTGAGGTTCACATGGTTCATTAGTCTTTTGGACTGTTTGTTTCTATGCATTTTTTTGTTTTTTTTCCACTCTTCCTTGCTTCTGACTGGAAGAGACCAATAGTTGCACCTTAGATGGTCACTTGCCAGTTACTCCTCACCCCAGTAAGATATAGAGCATTGTTTTTGTGAACCATGTTATGCCAATTGACTTAGCTGTCCCCTGAGATTGTGGTCCTAAGCCTCCAAGCCCAGTGACTCATTACCTTAAGGTGTTTGGTTTTTGGCTAAGAAATTTTCATACTTTTGCCCCTTGATTGCTCTATACTATATACTATATGGGAGCTCTGGTAGCATAGTGCCTAAGGCACTTGACTGCTAACCAGAAGCCTGGCGGTTCAAACCCACCAGCCACTCCGTGGAAGGAAGATGGGGCAATCTACTTTCATAGTGCTATTGCCTCTTGGAAACCCAAGGAGGGGTCGCTATGAGTCGGTCCAACTCAATGGCATATAACAACAACAACAACATATACTATATACAAGGATATATTTACAGCAAATTGTTGTTGTTGTTATGTGCCATGAGTCAGCCCCGACTCATAGCGACCCCTCCTTGGGTTTCCGAGGCAGTATCACTGCGGAAGTAGCAAATACAAATACATAAATAGAAATATCTCCTGCCAAACTGATATGGGGTCATGGGTGTAATCCTGTTTGCATACTCATACCTGTTTAACTTGTCTGACTGCCTTTGTATCCACTTGCAGATAGATGATTGTTTGTTATTACTGAAGTTGCAGATAGTGTATGTAGTAGTATTACCTTTGTTGTCTGTCACTATTGGGCACTTCTTGGGGTCTTCCTTTGCCTTAGTGATATTGTGCTGATCACCTCCTTATTGTATATTGCCTTTCCCTTCACCCAAATTAATTCATGTTTGTTAGCTAGTTATTTCTGCCCCTCCCCCTTTCCCTCCCATCCATGGTAAACATCAAAGAATGTTTCTTTCTGTTTATAAACCTTTTCTTGACTTTTTGTAACAGTAGACTCACACATAGTATTTATCTTTTTGTAATTGAGTTATTTCACTCAGCATAATGTCCTCTAGGTTCATCCACATTATGAAGTGTTTTGCAGATTCTTTATTATTCTAATACTTTGTGGTATTACACTGTTTGGATATACCATAGTTTGTTGATCCATTCATCCATTGATGGGCACTTATGTTGTTTCCATTTCTTTGCTATTGTGAATAATGCTGTGATTAACATGAATGTGCATGCCTTTTCATGTCCTGTCTTTTATTTCTCTAGGAGATATACCTAGTATGGGATTGCTCAATCAAATGGTATTTATATTTCCAGCTTTTTAAGGAAGTGCCATACCATTTTCCACAACGATTGTACCATATTATAGACCTACCAGCAGTATATGAGAGTTCCAGTCTCTCCACATCCTCACCACCATTTGTTGTTTTCTGTCTTATTGAACTTTCTTATTAATTCTGGGGTAGGATGGTAGTTCATTGTTGTTTTGCATCTCTGCAGTGGCTAATGATTATGAGCATTTCTTCATGTGTTTCTTGGCCACTGAATGTCATTTTTGAAGTGTTTGTTTATGTCCTGTGCCCATTTTTAATTGAGTTTTCTGTCTTTTTGTTGTTGAGGTGTTGGAGTTTTCTATAAATTTTAGAGATTGATCCCTTGTCCAGTATGTTGCTGACAACCAGTAGGTGTTCCTATCTCTTCATCTTCTCTGTTGGAGGCAGTGCCTTCTAGAACCTTTCTTGAAATGATCAAGTAAAACTGCCTTGATTAGACTTACCTGTCAGTAGCTAGGATAGTTACATAGCATACTAAGAATATGAGAGTCCACTGGAGAGAAAGACTAGGAAAAGCAAGGAGGCAGGATAATGCTACAGTAAAACGCACTTCAAAAATGAATTTATATTTAAAAAATTGTGGAATAGTAGTGCAAGCAAATCTCTGTAGCATACATGAGATTATCTCCTGAAGAAAGTATAAGATAGAGGACTGAGAGGCTCAAGACACTGGTGGGGGGATGGCTGGGTTCTGATCCGTGAAGATGAGAGCCTGTATCAGGCAACAACACTCAAATCTGGTAGAAAAATTAGTTTGGAATGGAAGTGTGGAATGTTTGTTTCCTTCATTCTCAAATGATACTATTTGAAATGTACCCATCAGTGTACTGTGATTTAATGTTGTAAATATTCTGTAGTGTCCAATTCTCTTGCCTATAGTGAAACAATTCTGCCACTTTGATTAGTTTAGAGTCATATGAAAAACAAAAATGCTCATTTTTAATCATGTTTAGCTTCTCATCCGAGGAAAATCACACAAAGTAGTACAGTAGATCATTTCTACTCCCAGCATCCCACTGCCCCTTCTAGCAAACAATAAATGCATAGTTCTGTATCTCTATGAGGCTGTGCCATAAACTCCTGCTTAGTATTCAAATGGAAAGTTGCCCTTTCAAGATTAGCTAGATCTGTCAAACCAAGATATGGTTCTCTAACATTTAAAGATCTCGACATTTACCACCTCCAGAGTACAAGCCTTTTAGCTATTAGCTTTCTCAGTTAAAAACTATTTCTTGAATTTAGAGTTTGCCCATCTCAGTGAACTCTCTATGTAACTGTTTTAGATCTGAACTAATATTGATACTGTCATTCACATTAAATCTCTAGATACTAAGACATAGGTGATATCTAGGATATTTATGTATTGTTTCTTTATGTCAGCATGGATTTCAACTTTAATTATTTTAAATATTACTGAGTTCTAAAATATGTTTTGTGTAGATCTAGGTCTTTGCTAAATTTCAGCATATGCCTCTTATGTCTAGCCAGTGATTCTATATATATAAATATGTAGTGTTCTTTTTCTCTAATCCAGCCTTGAGATTTTGTTGTTGTTTCTAGCTGCCATTGAGTCGGCCCTTGACTCTTGGCAACTCCATGTGTTAAAAGGTGGAACTGCTCCATACAATTTTCTTGGCTGTAATCTTTATTAAAGTAGATTGCCAGGCCTTACTTTCTTGGTGCATGAGTTTTATGCATATTAAAAATTCATACCTGATATAATAGTATTACTAATGATTTCACAAGGTTAAAGAGTTATTTCTTGTCCCATGCATAACAGTAGCTGGTATTGCCATTTGTCTGGTTGATCTTCCTATAATTAGATTTGAAGGAAGAAACTTTTGAATGAAGTGGATGCCAGGATATAGACAGCTTTTACAGAACATGATTGTGCTTGTAGAAGGCACTTCCTGATTTTCTGGCACTGGCTCTTATAATGATCAGGACACTGTGGCCTGTGCTTTTATTACATTTTCCTCCACCTCCCCTTTTCTGTTATTTTATTGTAATTGCCTTATTATTTCCCTTTTCCTGGATAATTTGTGTGTGCTTAGTCAGATAAGCACTGTTTCCATGACTCTGAAACTAACGTAACTTGACTTCTGCCTTTGAATATACAGCACATTTTAATGAACTTAATACTACATAGAAAGTACTTTTTGGGTAGAAAAGAATAATAATACATTATTTAAGATAATTTACAGATATTCTTGTACATCTACCAAATGATAAAATTTATTTTCATAAGTAAATTTTTCTTATTTTAATTAAAAACTCCTATAGTGATGGATAGGAGCTCTGGTGGCGTAGTGCCTAAGGCATTTGACTGCTAACCAGAAGGCTGGTGGTTCAAACCCACCAGCCACTCCTCGGAAGGAAGGTTGGGCAATCTACTTCCATAGTGATACTGCCTTGGAAACCTAAGGACGGGTTGCTATGAGTCGGATCTGACTTGATGGCAGTGAATTTTTTTTTTTTTTTAATAGTGATGGAGAGGCGCATAGATATGGATTTCATTGGACTTTAGGATAAAAGAATCCTGAAAGCATCAGGTAAAATAAAAACTTGTGTTCCAATTGAAGGAATATTAATATTGGAATTAAAAATTCAATTATGCAATAGTTATAAATGAAGAATCTGAATTAATTATTAAGCCTCGTGTATAGTAAAAGTGACATTATATTCTTACATATTATGCAGGTGAAATACAAAGAAGAGATTAAACATGCCACAGCCATTTCTGATCCTCCAGAGCTAAAGAGAGTTAAAGAAAACCAAAAGAACATCAGCAATGTGAGATCACATTACTTTAAGTATTTTTAAAGTTTTATTTTATTGGGTGATAATATGTGATGAAGGAATGATATCTATATAGGCCAAATCCCATTACAGTTAATAGTATTATGAGAGGGTCAGTTCTTTTAAAGGGGGTGATAACATTTCACACATCTTCATGTCTTCTGTTGCACCTTACCTGATGCCTCATATGCACTCATTTATTAAATGAAGATTTTCTTGAATGCTTACTCTGTCCTAACTCTTGGAATTCACAGATGAGTGAGATACATCTCAAGGTTAGGGGCTGTGGGTGTTCCCAGTACCTTTACAAGAAACACACATAGTAATACATAACTCTGGCATTTGACTGCTAGCCAGAAGGCTGGCAGTTCAAACCCACCAACCACTCCTCAGAAGGAAGATTGGGCAATCTCCCACCTTAGAGACCCAAGGAGGGGTCACTATGAGTTGGATCCAACTCAACGGCAGTGAGTTTTTGAGTTTATACATTGTTTTAAGTGCTATAACAAAAATTAATATTTATTCAGTTTTATACTTTTTAAGTACTTTGCTTGCAGTATCTCATTTAATCATAAGTAAGAAAACTTACTCTACAATGCTGTGGAAATGCAGAGAAGGCAGATGATGTCAGTAGGAGAGAGGGGAAAAAGCCTTGGAGAAAGAGACATCTGAGTTAGAGTTTACAGAGTTAGTGAAGTTTGGGATCGATTAAATGATGAAGGGCACTCCTATCAGAGCAGACCAAGTATGTCAGTATATAAGGACTTGAAGGAAGGGTTTAGAGCGATGAGCCTTGTTAATTGCTGTTGCGTCAATTCCAACTCTGCCCCATGTGTGCAGAGAGGAACTCCATAGGGTTTTCAGGGCTGTGACTTTTCAGAAGCAAGTCATCAGGCCTGTGTCTGAGGCACCTCTGGGTGGGTTCGAACCACCAACCTTTCGGCTAGTAGTCACATACTTTGTAGAAAGGGACAGGAGATGATGGTGAAGAGCTAGTAGGCATACATATTATAAGAAGGCAATATGGACTCAGACGTATAATAATAATAAAGAAGGTGCAAGACCAGGCAATGTTTTGTTCTGTTACACTTAAGATTGGTGTGAGTTAGCGCTAACTTGACAGCAACTAACAACAACAACAAAGAGCCATGAAGTCTCACAGTGTCCACTAAAGTGGTTCTCATACCATTATATTTAAAATGTTAGATTTAGTGATTATATTACTTTCATGAATGCTGTCTTTTAAAGAATGAGTTACTGGTTTTCAATTTGTGAGAAAAAAATCTTTTGAATAACTTTCTTTGAAAATAATAGTTTATTTAATGAAAAATACTACTGTGCATAACAACACCCAGATAGTTATATCTGGGTATGACATACAGAAAATGGCGTAAATTTTGGAGATGCTGGAGTAGTGGGTAAGAACATGGACCCTAATGTCTGATTGTTGATTTGATTCCAACAACTTGATCCTACTTTTTATAGTTAGTCAACCACCAGCTACTTCAAGCTAGAGTATTAAATGAGATATTGTATATAAAGCACTGACATGTTTATAAAAGGAGTAATGCAAAAAATGAAGTGTCTCCATACCAAATTTATGTGCACAAACTTACATCCAGTAAACATTGGCTACAAAAGTTTTTCTTTTGTACTTCAGTAATGCTGTTCAACAGATCATTGTCTCTGATCTCTAACAAAAGTTACCCTTTTCTATATCGTGCCATCAATAGAGGTTACATTGAAAGTTTCCTCACATTAACTCAATCATTCCAGTCACAAGAAAATCTGTCTCAACTCCCAAACCATATGCCACAACACAAAGTCACACACCAAGGAAAGAGATCACACCAGAACATGCTCTAAGCCTTTTTCATTTATTTTCCAGGCCTGTTGAACTTCACTTGCATGTTCAGTACTATGAGTATATATCTCAAGTCTATTTTATCTGCAGGCTCCACAGGCCTTGTGATTTCTTGAGAGAGAAAAAAAAAAAGAATCCTATAACGCTAAATTTAAGCTCCAAAAATCATTAAGACTGTCCCTGTGGAGTTTCTTATAATGGGATTTTAACCTCTAGTGCTACTTTTACCTGTCAAAAATTCATTCGACCTGACATGCCATTCTGCTTCTCTGTGTTAAATGCTCATTTATTTCCAAAGGTATTATGGATTTGCTATGAAAGCACACCGCAAATGATAGAGTGCCATCTGCTCAGCTAAGAGCAAACACCTCTCTGCAGTAGGTCAGGAACATTTCCATAAAGCTAGGTCACAAGGCAGGACTTACAGTGTTACAGAATTGTAGAGAAGGGAACTTTGAGGTTCAGGGTTTCTTTGTATAGTGACTGTCTGTAACTAAGATGCAGGCAGTAGATCTGTGTGACACTCCTTAACAATGGTAAGAGTGCAAAATTATTATATTTAAAATATAAAACAGTGAATTTGATGCAATGTCTTTTTAGTGCTATGAAGAAATGAATTCACAGAAGGGAGAATTTATTATTGCTGATAAGATAAAACTCAAGGAGACCACCAATAAATAATACAATTGAAAGACTATCAATCAAAGGCATCATTTAAAACATCTGGAAGAGAAAAAGCTTAAAAGTTGGGCACATGAAGATAATGAAATAAATTAGCAATATATATTTCAGGGAATAATCCTAATGAAAGTGTTAACTAGTGAATGCTCTGTAGCCATGTGACATTTATTTCCATTTTTTTCTGATGTATAAGCTTATTTCCCTTAATCCCTAACTCCCTTGTGCCTTGTCTCCCAGTTCCAGTATAAAGAGCAGCATTATAAGGCAACCCCAGTAAGCATGACACCAGAGATAGAGAGGGTGCGGAAGAACCAGGAGCAGCTGAGTGCGGCAAGTTGTTTCTGTTTTTCCTTATATTATCAAAGTTACATATATTAATACTAAAAAATGCCTCCTGAAAAGCTTTAAGCCTTCTATATGTTTGGATGGTCCTTTTCATGTTACATATCAAAGAACATGAGCTGTAGCCTTCTCACAGGAACCCAGGAAATTTGGGACTATATTGCTGTAATTAAGGATCTCTGGTGGTGAGGTGCATAAGGCGTTTGACTACTAACCAGAAAGTTGGCAATTCAAACCCACCAGTCACTCCGCAGAGGGAGGGTGGGGCAAAGTACTTCTATAAAGATTTACCACCTTGGAAACCCAGTGGGGTTCACTATGAGTTGGAATTGACTCAGTGACAATGGTTTTGGTTTTTTGAGCCCTGGTAAATAGTGCCTAAGGCACTTGACTGCTAACCAGAAGGCTGGCAGTTCAAACCCACGAGCCACTCCTTGGAAGGAAGATAGGGCAATCTACTTGCGTAGTGATACTGCCTCGGAAACCCAAGGAGGGGTCGCTGTGAGTCGGATCTGACTTGATGGCACATAACAACAACAACAGCAACAACAACAACATAATTAGCTATGTTTCTTAGTCAAAAAATGTTCCTAAACCTCCTTTATTTGTTAGGCATTGTTCTGGGCACTGGTACACAAAGATAGATATGATAGAGTTCCTCTTTTCAGGAACCTCATAGTTTAATTGGTGAATCTCTACAAGTACATCTAGGTGAGGCCCTGAAGACTAGTGAGTATGGTGTTAACTGGACAATGGATTTGTCCAATCACAGAAAAATTTATATGTTGGAATAGGTCAAGCAAGCACTTGGTATGACTGACTGAGTCATACCATACATAGTGTCAGAGCAGGGGACCTTATAAACAAAATGGAAAGCATTATTCAGCCCTCCTAAAATATATGGCTACTAAAAACAATAATAGTTCATAGTTATGAGGTACCTGCTGTGTGCAGGGAGTTCCTGAGTGGGCAGATGGTTAACATGCTTGGCTATTACCAGAAGGCTGAAAGTTCGAGTCCACTCAGAGGTACTTCAGTGATCTACTTCTAGAAAATCAGCCACTGAAGACCCTATGCAGCACAGTTTTGCTCTGACACACAAGGAGTTTCCATGAGTCAGGATTGATTTGACGCAACTCGTTATATTGTGTGGTAGACCTTGTGGTAAATGATTTATGTGGACCCATGAGGTCAGCATTGTTAATTTCTCAGTTCTGTAAAGGTGGGAAATTAAGACTTAAGGAAGTCACAGAACATGCCTGGGGACCATGGCTAGTAAAAACAGAGCTGAGATTGGAAGCCAGGCCTTCTGAAATCCAGGCATCCTTTGTAAAAGTGCCTTCAGATAGTTATTTTTTTCTGTTTTGTGACTCTTTTATGGAACTTTTATCAATATAAACAATAGCCTCTTTTTCTAAGACCAGTCGCTTTAAAAGATTTCACAATTTAAGAGCAAGTTTTCCTTGGTGGAGGAAAACTTCAGGCTTAATACTGTTTTGTCCTTGTAGTATCCGTGAAAGGTGGTAGGAGTCAGGAATCTTTAGGTTCTTTTGAAAGGTGGGAAACTCCAGGATCAGAAAGAGAGTTATTGACCTTCTGAGGCAGCCCCACTGACTCCACTGCCATTCTCTTTAGTGACTTTATTCTGTAGTTTCTTTTATGGTAAGCTCCCTTGTATTTCCATTACTTTTATTCCTGGGCTTTGCAGTTGGTCTTAATATTGAACAGCAAAGTATTTATTGAAAATTCATTTTTAAGAAGCACAACCAATACTTTGTGCTTGCTAAGTTGGATGGGTCAGAATCCAGGTGTAAATACTCTAGAACAACGTGCCCGCCTTCAGAAGCTTGATCCATAACTACTGTGGAAAAAATGCATAAAAGATATGGGTAATTTGAGCTCATCCTCTGTGATATGTTGGTGGTGTTCATTCTGCTTTCTATTAAAATTCTTATTTATCTTGTATAGGTAAAATACAAAGGTGAGATCAAACAGGCAACAGCCATTTCTGACCCACCAGAGCTGAAGAGAGTTAAAGAAAACCAGAAGAATATCAGCAATGTGTGATCATCTCAGTAACTTTTTTTTTATAATATCAAACATATTGTCAACATGTATTTAAAACATTTTCATAATGTTGTGTTGATATTGTGCTCTTAATTGACTAACAGTCATATTGAAAGGTTCAGGATCTTAGATATTGTGCATACAGTCAGGCATTGCCCACTTCAGAGTTCCCAGTTTAACACATGTATGATTTCTTTCTAGAAGATACAGTGTTTCCTTCTTGTCTTCGTGGTTATAGTTACTATGTTTTCCCCAAAGGGAAGCAGGAGTGGCATCTGGCATCTTGGCCTTGCAAATAAGCTTTTCCACTCCTCCCTACCTGTATGTGTTCTTGTTCTCTAGCCTTCCCTCACCCCCACCCTGTCATTCCCAGCTATCGTTACTATATTTTTGGATGATAACCAAGGAGAAATTAGAAAGTGTATGTGGCTAAGTAAATTGTCATAAGGGACAAGCTCATTTTAGGAGCACTTGGTAAAGGGGCTGGCAGTTTCCACTTAGCCACTAACTCCTGTCCTGCTGTAACTTCCTTCTGCTTATGTGATCCATGGTTATAGTTCACGGTGAGAATCCTTTTTGAAGTTATTAACATATAGACTGGGTTCTTTGGAAGAGGAAATTTGGAAATCTATTAAGTGGAAAGAAATCTTTTATTTATCAAACTTTTAAAGTCATTTAACCAGATTATGAAGCAAAAACAGGTTATGTTTGGTACTTTTCCTAACAACTTTATTTTGGAGACAGATGCTCATCTTTTCCCAATATATTTAGAGTCACACTTGACATGACTCCATTACTCATAAAAAGGAACATGGTGATTGGGAAGGAGGAATGGAATAGTGCTGATGATGACCTTTTTCTGCGTGACTGTAGTAACCTATTTAAATGCATCCTTGACAAAAGTTCTACCATGTTTAATGACTGAGGAACTGCTATAGGACATTAACATTATATATGGGGAATAACATTATATATGGGGAATACCTTTAAGTAATATCCATGAAGAAATTGCCTATCAAAATTCTTTTTAAATATAGTCCTTTGTGATGTAATGGTTATTATAGCTTTATTAGGAGTCTCTGGGTGGCACAAACGGTTAAGCACTCAGCTAGTAACTGAAAGATTGGTGATTGGATTCCACCAAGAGGTGCCTCGGAAGAATGGTCTGGCTATCTACTTCCAAAAATTAACAGTCACTAAAAAGCCTTGTGCAGTTCTACTCTGAAATACATGGGGTAGCCATGAGTTGTAATTGACTCGATGTTGTTGTTGTTGTTATGTGCCATCTAGTCGGACCCGACTCATAGCGACCCCTTCTTGCGTTTCTCAGGCATTATCACTACGGAAATAGATTGCCCCATCTTCCGAGGAGTGGCTGGTGGATTTGAACCGCCAGCCTTCTGGTTAGCAGTCAAGTGCCCTAGCCACTACGCTACCAGAGCTTCCAATAGCATTATTGATGGTATATTCATATATTTGAGTACATTCATAGTAATTTGGATAATACACATTTCTATTGAATGAATTTACATAGATTGATTTAAGGTGCAAGCAATTTTTAGTGTGATTAGACCTCAGATGGGAGCTCTGGTAGCATAGTGGCTAAGGCATTTGACTGCTAACCAGAAGGCTGGCGGTTCAAACCCACCAGCCACTCCTCGGAAGGAAGGTTGGGCAATCCTACTTCCGTAGTGATACTGCCTCGGAAACCCAAGGAGGGGTCGCTATGAGTCAGGGCTGACTCGACGGCACATAACAACAACAACAACAAAGACCTCAGATAGTACCCTTTCCCGCCCCCCCTTCCCCAGTTTCCCTTCCTTGGTTAACCCTTTAAAAATACTATGACACCATAATTTTATTGAATTGATACATAGTACTCTATCTTTTGTTCTCTGAAATGATAGGTTTATTATAAAGGTCAGCTGGGCAGAGCTACTGCTTTAAGTGTAACTCCTGAGATGGAAAGAGTAAAGAAGAATCAAGAAAATATTAGTTCGGCAAGTGGCTTTATCTATCCATCTGTCTGTCTGCCATTGTTTTTTTTCTTTTTTAGCTTTTGGAAACTTAAGAATAAAAGCTGAAAATTTAGGACTATCACAAAATATGTGTCTTTTATTATTTGTTTGCAGTTCTGTTTATCCTAGTGCAAGTAAAATTTATTTTCAAGAAACATTTGTGATATGTTATTTTAGATGACTTCCAATAGGCTGCTATAGTATAAATTTCCATTTTCTTGAAAACTTAATTGATATTTCCAGATTTTACTAGCAGTAACATTTAAAGTTCAGTATAAAAGCATATAACGTTCATTTAAATAATGTTATTTTGGTCAGTGTCTTTGAAAATGGCAAGTCTTTGATGCTTAAGTTAAAAAATGATTTTCTTGATGTGCTTCATTAAGTATTGTTGCTGTTATAGTTACATGCCATTGAATCAATTCTGTCCCATAAAAACCCATGTGACAGAGTAGACCTGCCCCATAGCATTTTTTGGCTGTGATCTTTACAGACTCATAATGGGGGGTTGGGTTTTTAGGAATCTTTATGAAAGCAGATCACCAGTTCCTTCTCCAGCAGAGCCGCTCGCTGGGTGGGTTCAAACCACCAATATTTCATTTAGCAGCCAAGTGCTTAATGTTTTAATTTTGAAAAACAAAATAAACGTCTAAGGCGTTAGACTGTTAACCAGGCGGCTGGCGGTTCAAACCCACTAGCCACTCCTGGGAAGGAAGATTGGCAATCTGCTTCCGTAGTGATACTGCCTCAGAAACCCAAGGAGGGACCTTTATGAGTCGTATGCAACTCGATGGCAGTATGTTGTTTTTGTTTTTACTCCAAAATAAGGATCCTCTGAAGTAAGGACTTACAGAAAATAAATTCTTTAAATACATTTACTATACGATTCATTTAGTCATTAGAATCCCATGGTGCATTTCAGTGTCTTATTTTGATAGTATTTTTCTTTCTTTTAGTGAAAAGCAGGGCTTCCATTCTGAATTGCACATGTGCCTTCAGGTCTCCTGTAATGAATATCCTAATCTCACACCTAAGCAGCTTCACAAAATGACAGTGTTCTGATGGTCAGTTGTCAAGAACACTGGCATTACTTCTAGAAAACTTTGAAGAGCTCTCTGTTTGGGGTTCAGCATTGAGGCATCACCATTTGCAGTTCTCTGGTGGCTCTTCTGTTCAGAGATGCTGAGTGTATGCAATGTAAATTACTTTTAAGCTGTGGCTGCTTCGATGAAATCACTAGATTTGTTCTTCAGTGTTTCTTATTCTCTAAAGGGGGAGAAATAAGAGGATTTAGGGGGAAGCATGGTAATAGTTGTGGAGGAAAATGAGGGGAATACAGAAACAGAAAAATAAATTTAGATTCCATTTAGTTTTGGATTTTCTACCCAGTTTTACTGATTACCATGTTAGTGGATATTAGTCAGTCATTTGCAGAAAAATGGGGCAGAAGAACTAACTCAAGATGAGAGAAAGATTTAGGTTATTTTTGCTTAGCCTTTAAAGAAGACCTTTGAGAGTAAATTTTAGATTCTTTATAGAAGAAGGAGTCCGTCAGTGGTGCAGGTGGCTAATGTCCTTCGTTATGAACTGGAAGACTGAAGGTTTGCGTTCACCTAGATGTACCTCAGTGAAAGAGCCTGGTGATCTGCCTCCTAAAACCCAGGCACTGAGAATCCTGTGGCGCACAGTTCCATTCTGGCACGCATGGGGTCACCATGAGTCAGAATCACCTCAATGACAACTGTTTTTTTTTTTTTTTTCCCCTAATTCTAGAACAAAATCTAATCCACCAAACAAGTTAGCCAGGAAATAATTCACAGTGTGTTGCATATGTTCTATAACCCTTATCTCCCCATCCTACTCCCTGCAAAACTTGAAAGAGTTGTATAATATTTTATATTATAATTGTCTTGTTATAAATATCTTCTACTGTTTACTTTGCAGGTAAAATACACCCAGGACCATAAACACACAAAAGGTAGACCAAGTCTGATTTTGGATACACCTGGTCTGAGGCACGTTAGAGAAGCACAAAACCGTATTTCAATGGTAGGGTACAACCAACTCATTCTTCTCATGACTAAAACATGCTAAGGAATGGCACCGTCATGGCATTAGCTCACCATTAATCTGGATGACTAACAAAACATGGAAATGGGATGGGCCAGCTGTTTTGTTGGGACGACTCTCTAATCACACTGAAATGTATGAAAATATTGAGTCTAATAAAATGATTTCTCTCAGTGATATTTTTTGTGTGTTTTTATTTCTAACATGATCACTATGAATGCATTTTGTGAAAGTTATTTGCCTGGACTTCTTCCCAATTAATTTTAAGATGGAGTTTGGTGTGTTTGCATGTTGTAAAGAATATGAAAAATGTATTTTTTTAACAGCTTTATTGAAATATAATTTATCTATCATAAAGTTCACCTATTTAAAGTATATAATAATAATTATATACTTTTATATAATCCAATGGTTTCTAGTATATATAAGCAACCACCACCCTAATCCAGTTTCAGAACACGAAAAATGTATATTTTGAAGTATATTGAGTTGATTATATGTGACTCTTTTATATTGTTTTTGAATTAACACTGTTTTCTTGAAATAATTGTATAGTAGTAGTATATCATTTTATTGCATATTAAGAGATAGGAAATTGATGTAAGGTTAGTTTAGGAAATAATTGGAATTAAAAGATTCTATCTTTTAAAACTTCTGGCTGATTTACAGGTTTATATATAATTTAAAAGAGATGTTTAGATATTGTGAAAAATTGCCATAATGATTTAGAATGTTATAAAAATAATGAGCACTTGATTTTTGAAGTAAGAAACCTGAAGTTTCTGACATTCTTGAAATAATTGTAAACAATGCATGTAATCTCCATGGAGCTTGTGGAATTGCCACCTTTTACTTTTTCAAAGTGAGATACTATGGAGTTAGGCAACCATTGCCCTAATCTTATTTCAGAACATGAAAATAATTGGGTAATTTCATTTTGAGGTAATTTTGTTCATCTTTTTCTAGGTAAAGTATCATGAGGATTTTGAAAAGACAAAGGGAAGGGGCTTTACTCCTGTTGTGGATGACCCTGTGACTGAACGTGTGCGGAAGAACACCCAGGTTGTCAGCGATGCTGCCTACAAGGGCGTCCACCCTCACATCGTGGAGATGGATAGGAGACCTGGCATCATAGTCGGTAAACTGACCATCCTTCTTGATGGCTATGCATCATCAAGAAGGATATGTTTGCCCTTGCTTTAGAATTAGCATCCTATTCATTTGATTTCTCATCAGTGTTTGATATGATACCTCATTTTAAGTAGAGCACAGTTATGGTACTATTACTTATAACGGGTTGAATGGGATTCATGGCATTCACCAGGCATTGTTGCAAATCCTTTCTACATTCTCTATCTTTCATAGTTTTCTGGTCTCATGGAAATTCTCACTTGCTAAACAAAGGAGCCAGCCTACATACCAGACATGGTGATAACAGTGGTTGAATAATTCTTTTGTTTTCCTTTAGGTCCTGTACTTGATCAGTGTGGTTGTGCTACAGAAATTGAGTGCATGGGTGACAGAAATAATAATATATTTAAGTCCTTTTACCACACATAGGCTTGCCAGAGAGATTCTGATGATACTCCACAATGTGAATAGCTTATATTTTCTTGAGTATTATTTCTCAACTGGAATAATTGAGAGTTATCTGAACATCATTGGAAGTCTTAGGAGTATAGTGTTGAATATGGCTGGGCTATCACCAAGAATCATACTGAAGGTTAAAAGAAGTTTAAGGTAGGGCTAGAAATAAAAGTTACTGATTTTTCAATATATATTCAATAATTCATACTTCCAAATAACTGTTGTCTTCCTCAGAACAGTTAACTGCTGAGATTTTATAGTGCAGTTATTATTTTTGGTAACTGATATATATGCCTTTCAGTAATCTCAGTGATAACTTATGTTCATCTTCAAAAGTAAGAACTTGTTTTTTGGAAATAGTAAAAAGTCATTTAGAGGTGAGTTAGATGAGGAAAGTATGTATTTGACAGGGTAATATCTCAGTACTAAACAAGGTAGTAATGTCAGGGTACTGAGTTACTTGAGTCATTGCTAAAGTGACTCTAAAAGTAACTTCTAAAGAGGGATTCCAAAGAGATGAGTAAGCAATTGATAGCTTTGCTGATCATCTCAAGGTGATTGTTTAAAAGGACTACATTAAGTTGAGCGGATAAGTTGTGATGTTTTCAGTGAAAGCAATACAAAATTAGAGTTTCATTGCTTTGTACTAATGTCTTGTGTGTGATAATGCAGGGGTCCCACTGAGATGAAACTGCTAAAGTGTACATAGCTTACCCCAGGATCCTACCCTAAACCAGGCATCAGGAGTGACAGTGAGTGACATCCTGGCTAAATACCGTGAGATGGTCTAGATTTTTGACTCTCAGAATTCAGTGTTCATAGTATTTTGAAACAGATTTTTGAAAATATATAAGGTGTATAATAAATTATTCACTTACTGGGAAGTCCTGAAATTGGTTTATTTCTTCTTATCAGAAGAACGTATTTTCCATTGAGGACTCACCTATGAAACAACAAAATGAAGTATACTCAACAAACATTAAATGCTTCAGTGAAGCAAGTTCTGTACCAGGCATGGAAATGCAGGTTTAGAGGTTTTTATGACTAATTCAGACTAAGCCAATTTGTACTGTATCTATTTTTGTGGCAGGCTCTGCTATTTAGTAGTTGTATAACTTTGTCCAAGTTACTTAATCTTTGTGTGCCCATTTCCTCATCCATAAAACGAGGATAATAATAGCACCTACTGTAATATATTATGAAGTTTAAATGAATTATGTTATAGCTTCACATGATGCCTAGCATATGGTATGCTCTTTATATACTATTAATTAAAAACAAACAAATGTCTGGTTTCAATTTACTAATTAATTGGTTTCACTCCTGCCGAGTTTTTGCCACATATCCATCACTAGATTCTCATTTAGCACTTCTTGGAACAGCACTATAGAGATCATTTTAAGATCTGATAACTGTTAGTTGGAGAGACTAGGATTCTAAGCAGTTATTAGACTTGTATTTTGCCTCCAACTAAAATAGGAGCAGAATAAATGGGTTTGTGTACTCTGATCATTGATGGTGGCAGTGAACTAATCTATGCTTCAAGAGCAGGAAGCTACTCTTCCTCATCTTTCTAACCCTTATCATTTCTTGCTCAGGACCTTGCTCATAGCATTTGTCCGATAAATGTATCTTACATGGATTAGCTTACACTCACAGATGTAAATATTAGATTCAGAATGAAAACTGGATTTGCCATTTGCCTACATCTCAAACATTTTTTGTTATAGGAGAGAAGTTTTGTTTTCTCAGACAAAAGCTTCTCAATCGTTCCTGTGAATTACTCAAATGCCCTTAATCGGGTATTTTAGTCAGACATTTTAACTCTTTCAGTGAGTAGAGAGCAAGAGTGATTTGGCACTGAGGGTACACCATGGAGGTGATACACAGTCACCCCACATGCCTGTGTGCTAACTGAGGAAGTCACAAGCATGCCAGTGTAGCTCACAGTAAAAGGTCAATGAAGAATAAACCACGCAATTGAAACTTACTTATGAAGTTTCCTTAACAATATTGGTGAAAGTGAACATCCTTCTTAGTTCTCCTGTGAAGTCTGTAGCATAGGGTTTGCGTTTGCTTATGATATGTTTGCTTTTGACATACGTTCCTTTCCAGACTTTTGTTTAACTCTCTTTCTTTTTGGTGCTGGCCTTTAAAAAAAATTTTTTTTTCTTGATCTGTTGATTTCTTTCTTTTGGTAAAAGACCTCAAAGTTTGGCGCACAGATCCTGGCTCCATCTTCGACCTTGATCCCCTGGAAGATAATATTCAGTCTAGAAGTCTACATATGCTCTCTGGTATTGCTTCCATTTCTGGTTTCTCCCATCTACGTGGTTATTCCTGAAAGTGAAGCTACTATAAGCATTTCTTTATGCCAAATATGTAATGTAAATTTTAAAGTTGAGAATTTGAAAAACCCAAAATGTGTTATACTACTTTAAAATGCCATTTATCATTTATGAAAATAAAATTTGCACCAGAGCTTTTTAATACAGTCTAGATTAGTTTGTCCAAGATTCATTTATAAAGGTGTCTAGAGTTTAATTATAACTGCTTTTTATCAGCGAATATGATTTTATACAGTTTCTGGGTTTACAAATGCAGTTATTTTGATTATACCACATTGCTGAGAGAAGAAAAAAAGATTTGTTTTATGAAATACATTGTTAAAATTATTTAAAGAAATATATAGAATACTAGATAGGTTTTCTATAGAGCATCATCAATGTCTTTAAATAGACTTTTAAAGAGTCTATTTAAATATTGATAAATATTCTAAATATTTATTGGGGTTAGTTTTTTTATAATGTAAAAGGAATGGTTTAATATTTTAGATAGGAAGTTTTATTTGATTTTTAATATACACTGCATGTTTATGATTAAAAGCAAAAAAATAAATGGTTTGGATATTTGGGTATACTGATACCATGGTTTGACTTTCAGACTTTTGGACCATGTTTAGCAACCTAAAGCTTTGACAGTGTAGTAGTTATTTTAAGCAATCTGAATAGATATCCTGTCATTCAGATCTTGCTCCACCCCCTAATTCCTACTCTAGATATAATTGTTGCCATTAATCAAATTGAAAGTCCATGGCAAAGTAGGGATGCTAATACTTTATGTAGTCAATTTGATCCACATACTCAGCCAAACTGTGTCATTTAGACTTCTAAAAATAAAGACAAAGCATCAAATGCTGGCAATACTTTAAAGCAGTTATTTATAACTAGACTTTATATTTGACAGAAATTTGTTAGTTTAACAATGTTTTCTTAATTCTTAGGAAAATTGTCAATTGCCTATTCCTATTCTCCTTTAAAATTTAGATTAAAAAATGAGTATGAATAATCTTTAAGCCATTTATGTAGTTGATGCAATTTAGCTGAAGTTTGGGGCTAGGTGGCCAGAATCTTAGGATAGCTGAGATATTGGGTGATCTTTTACTAAGGAATCATTTTCCTTCACTGTTAATCTTTGAAATAATTTTTCTTTCTTTCTGTTCTTCAAGTTGTTGTTTTATCACAAATATGAATATTTTCCCTCCAATCTAGAAAAGGCGAATCAGTATAGGCGACACCGGTCTCGCTCTCATTCCAGCAGTACTTTTGGAACAGGTGTGGGAGATGACAAGTCAGAAATATCAGAGATTTACCCTAGCTTTTCATGCTGCAGTGAGGTAACAAGACCGTCTGATGAAGGAGGTATCAAACATTAACCAGTTATCAAGAAACTTAATTCATTTTCCAGTATGACACAGGAATGTTTCTAACACATTCTTTACCTTGCACCAACATTTATTTGGTTTGGATATATTTGAATAGTTTAAGTTTAGAAAGTTAAGAGTCTTCATTATTTAAATTACTAATTTGCATTTGTGCATGTTCTTTCCCTGTCACTTCACTACTGTTACCACAAATAGATGTTTAATGATGAAAGAGTCTTGGGATTTGCTACATGAGTGTGTTTCATGAGAGTTGTATGAGATGTATGTACAAAGCCACAGTGGACATTTGGGTACTGTGCATACTCTGTATCCGATTTGCATTAAGGTAAATAAATTTTACAGTAATATTTTTATAGATAAGAGGGTACTATGAATTTGTGTGTGTTTAAATATTGATATAAATTTAAAGCCAGAGTTAGATCTATCTAAAAATAAATTGAGTATACTACTTGGGATGTAAGACTTTATTTAAATGAAAAATACTATTGATTGGTTAACAATTTTCTCTATATATTATGTATACCTATCTTTTTCTTCTACTTTCTACTGTTTTCTATATCCAAGATGGTGAATTAGGTCTAGAACTTTTGGAGGTATTTTTTTTTTAGATATTAATCTAAACATGCTGATAAAGCTGTTGTTGTTGTTATGCGCCATCAAGTTGTCTCCAACTCATAGCAACCTTATGTACAACAGAACAAAACACTTCCTGATCCTCTACCAGCCTCAAAATCCTTACTGTACTTGAGCCCATTGCTGCAGCCACCATGTCAATCCATCTTGTTGAGGGCCCTCCCCTCTTTCATTGACACTCTACTTTACCAAGCATGATATCCTCCAGAGAATGGTCCCTTCTGACAACATAACCAAAGTAGGTCAGATGAAGTCTGGCCATCCTCGCTTCCAAGGAGCATTCTGGCTGCACTTCTTCCAGAACAGATTTGTTAGTTCTTTTAGCAGTCCGTGGTACTTTCAGCATTCTTCGGCAATACCACAACTCAAAAACATCAACTCTTCTTTGGTCATCCTTATTCACTGTCCAGCTCTCACATGCATATGAGGCCATTGAAAATACCATGGCTTGGGTTAGTTTTATCTTAGTCTTCAAGGAGATAACTTTGCTCTTCAGCACTTGGAAGAGGTCTTTTGCAACAGATTTGCCCAATTCAAACACATCTTTTGATATCTTGACTGCTGCTTCTATTGGCGTTGATTGTAGAACCAAGTAATATGAAGTCTTTGACAACTTCAATCTTTTCTTCATCTATCATGTTGCTGCTTATTGGTCCAATTGTAAGGATTTTTGTTTTCTTTATATTGAGGTGTAATCCGTACTGCAGATAGTAGTCTTTAATCTTCATCAGTAAGTGCTCCAAGTCATTCTCACTTTCAGCAAGCAAAGTTATGTCACCTGTGAATCTCAGGTTGTTAATGAGTCTTCCTCCAATCCCAATATCAAGTTCTTCTCCATATAGTCCAGCTTCTCGGATTGTTTGCTCAGCATACAGATTGAATAAGTATGGTGAAAATATACAACCCTGACATACTCCCTCCCTGACTTTAAACCATGCAGTATCCCCTTGTTATGTTCGAATGACAGCCTCCTAGTCTATGTACAGGTGCCTCATGGGTACAATTAAGTGTTCTGCAATTCCCATTCTTATTGTCATCCACAATTTGTTATAATCCACACAATTGAACGCCTTTGCATAGTCAATAAAAACACAAGTAAACATCTTTCTGGTATTCTTTGCTTTGAGCCAAGATCCATTTGACATCAGCTATGATATCCCTCTCCACGTCCCCTTCTGAATCCACCTTGCATTTCTGGAAGTTCTCTGTCAATATACTGCTGCATTTGTTTTTGAATTATCTTCAGTAAGATTTTACTTGAGTATGATATCAATGATATTGTTTGATAATTTTCACATTCTGTGGGATCACCTTTCTTTGGAATGGGTACAAATATAGATCTCTTCCAGTCAGTTGGCCAGGTACCTGTCTTCCAAATCTCTTGCCATAGCCAAGTGAGTGCCTTCAGCCTGGCATCCCTTTGTTGAAATATCTCAGTAGGTATTCCGTTAATTCCCAGAACCTTGCTCTCTGCCAATTCCTTCAGTACAGCTTTGACTTCTTCCTTCAATACCACTGGTTCTTGATCATATGCCACCTCCTGAAATGAAAGATCAACTACCAATTCTTTTTGGTATAGTGATTCTGTGTATTCTGTGCATTTTCTTTTGATGTTTCCTGCATCATTCAACATATCGCCCACAGAATCTTTCAATATTGCAATTCAAGGCTTAAATTTTTTCCTCACTTCTTTCAGCTTGAGAAATGCTGAGCATTTACTTACCTTTTGGTTTTCTCACTCCAGGTCTTTGCATGTTTCATTATAATAACTGACTTTGTCTTCTCAAGCTGCTCTTTGAAATCTTCAGTTCGTTTAACTTGTCATTTCCTCCATTTGCTTTAGCTACTCTCCTTTGAAGGACAAGTTTCAGAGTCTCTTCTGACATCCACTTTGGTCTTTTCTTCCTTTCCTGTCTTTCTAATGACCTTTTTCTTTCTTCATGGATGATGTTCTTGATGTCATCCCACAATTCCTCTGGTTTTTGGTCATTGATGCTCAGTGCATCAAATCTACTCTTTAGATGGTTTCTAAATTCGGGAGGAATATAATCAAGGTCATATTTTGGCCCTGGTGGACTTGTTTTAATTGTCTTCAGCTTCAACTTGAAGTCACATATGAGCAGTTGATATGTTCCACAATCAGCTCTTGGCCTTGTTTTGGCTGAAGATATTGAGCTTCTTGATTGCCTCTTGCCACGGAAGTAGTCAATCTGGTTCCTGTGTACTCAGTCTGGTGAAATCCATGTGGATATCCACCATTTATGTTGTTGAAAAAAGGTATTTGCAATGAATAAGTCATTGGTCTTGGAAAATTCTGTCAGGCAATCTCTAGCATCATTTCTGTCACCAAGGCCATGTTTTCCAACTACCAGTGATTCTTGTTTCCAACTTCTCCATTCCAGTCACCAGTGATAATCAGCACATCTTGATTATATGTTCAGTCAATTTCAGACAGCAGAAGTTGGTAAAAATTTCCTCATCTTTGGCTTTGGTGGTTGGTGTATAAATTTGAATAATAGTAGTATTAACTAATCTTCCTTGTAGGCGTATTGATATTATCCTATTATGGATAGCATTGTACTTCAGGATAGATTGTAATACATTCTCTGTGATGATGAATGCCACGCCCTTCTTCAATTTCTCATTCCCAGCATAGTAGATCATATGACCGTTTGATTCAAAATGGCCAAAACCAGCCTGTTTCAGCTCACTAATGCCTAGGATATCAATCTTTATGTGTTCCATTTCATGTTTGACAACTTCCAATTTTTCTAGATTCATACTTCATACAGTCCATGTTCTGAATATTAATGGATGTTTGCAGCTGTTTCTTCGCATTCTGAGTCATGCCACGTCAGCAAATGGAGGTCCCAAAAGCTTTACTCCACCACATCAGTAAGGTCAACTCTACTCTGAGGAGTCATCTCTTCCTCAGTCATATTTTGAGTGCCTTCCAACCTGAGGGGTTCATCTTCTGGTACTATATAGGACAATGTTTCAGGGCTATTAGTAAAGTTTTCCAGTAATATATCAGACAGTGTTTCACTGTTATTCATAAGGTTTTTTACTGGCCAGTTCTTTGAGAAGTGGATGGCCTCTTCCTTCTTCCTAGTCTGTCTTAGTCTAGAAGCTCTGCTGAAACCTGTCCACCATAAGTAACCCTGCTGGCATTTGAAACACCAGTGGCGTATCCTCCAGGCTCATAGCAACACTTAAGCCACCACAGTACAACAAACCGACAGGTTTGTCTCCCTTAGTTGTTCCAAACTGCTCTGCTCATTTCCTAGTCTCCCTCGCCTGGGCTTACTTACCCAGCCTGCCCCCAGGGTGCTCCACACAAATACCTGCCTGCTTCCTGCTACTCCTGGGCTGGCTTACTCTGTCCTGCCCCCCAGAGTGCTAGCTCCATGCACCCAAACACACACACACACACACCTGCCTTTCGCTGCTCCTGGGCTGGCTTACTGCTGCCTGCCCCCTGATAAAGCTGCTACTAAAGGCTAAATTTATGATACTGTCCTTCCCCACTGCAGGTTCATGTTAATGCAGCAGAAAGAAGAAGAGGTCTGAAACATAGAACAAAAAGAATACTGAATTTTCTTTCCAACCGTAAAAGCCATATTGCTGAAATTACTAAGGCAGGGAATGTTCAGATTGAGGAATTAACACCTTGGAAAAAGAAAGTAATGTGATTAAGAAATGGGTAAGCCTATGAAGACTCTTGTAATTGTGTAATTTTTTTTTTCTCCCACTCATTAAAATAAAACATCAATAAGAATACAATCAATTACATTTTATACATTTTAAATTATAAATTAAATTATTTGGCCTTAGCTTGGTGTAAAGGAGTTCTGGTGGTGAGTGAGTGAGGCATTTGGCTGCTTACCAAAAGGTTGGTGGTTCAAACCCACCAACTGCTTCACACAAGAAAGGTGAGACAACCTGCTTCCATAAAGATTTACAGCCTTGACTATGTAGGAAATCCTGGATAGAGTAGGAGAACAAAGTGGAACAAAACTCAAAATAATTTTTTTTTTTTTAATCTGAAAAGGACTAGATTTGCTGGTCTGATGAAGCCTGGTGGAATTCTTGAGACCATGGCTCATAGCTATTCTTCAGGTCTGGAATTGAACCCCTTCTTGTGGCTTCCAGCCAAACAAAAGACAGGCATATGAACTGAATATTTACATTAGGTAGATACACTCCTTGGAGAGATTAATCATGGGAGAATAGAGGGGTTGTGTGTGCACAAGGAGACAGCTTGAGGGGCAGGAGTGCATGGGAGGGAAGGACACAGGGAGGAAGAAGTAACTATGGGGAGGAAGTGGGAGGGAACTTGTTACA